ATACTTCACTCCATGCTATCCTTGACTTTGTTGTTTGTGCTGAGAAGTCTGCTGTGATGCTGATAGGTTTTCCTTTATAAGTGATCTGTCTTTTCTCTCTGATAGCTTTTAATAATCTATTCTTGTGTTGGATTTCTGGGATGGTGATTATTATGTGTCTGGTGTAGTTTTATTTTGGTTATGACTATTTGGAGTTCTATATGCTTCACTGATCCTGATGTCAGTTTGTGATCTCATGCTTGGGAAATTTTCAGCTATGACTTCTCTAAATATCCTCTTGACATCCTTTATGTTGTCTCCTTCTTTTTCATTAATCCCTATCATTCTTATGTTATTTTTCTTTGCATCATATTGCAGTTTTTGAATTGTTATTGTCTGATTCCTTGTTATTTTTAAAAGATCTTTCCTTACCTGTTCACTAGCTGCAATCCTGTCTTCAATGTCTGAAATTCTATCTTCACTTTCATTGAGGTGGTTTTTACAACTTTCAGTGGAGTTTTTTTTTTTCCTGTATATCTCTGTGCATCTGCATTATGTATTCTGTTTGTTTCTTATATCACTCATCTAGGGATCCTATCTTTTTATTTAGTTCCTCCAATTTTTTCACTGTGTTTTCTTTAGATATATTCAGAATCTCTTTCATTTCTTTCATCATTTCTGCTTTTACCTGGGAGATTATTTTGAGTTTGAATTCCTTTAAAGCTTCCTGGAGTTGCTTGTTAATTTCAGTAGCTATTATGTCCAATGTTTGAAGTGAATGTTTGAGGTGAATGGCTCCTAGGGTTTTTTGAGATGGGTTGGAGGTTTGAGGTTGTAATTTGGTCTTTTGTTTTGTCATATTCCTATATTTCTGTGTTTCAAGTGCTATTTGAAAGCTTCCTCAGGGTCTGTTGGAAATCCGCTTCTATGTTTGCAGCTTCTGAGACTCTGGCACCCAGTTACCCCAAGCCACTGTGTCTGTAGGACCAGTGGCCCTCTTCTGCCTGTTTAGAACTCTGTATTTCCAGATAAGCTGGGCTTCAGGGACACTGTGCGCCCACCTGCTTATTGGAACTGCTCCACAGTTCTCCAAGCGCAGATGGAATGCGGAGGTGGATGTAGATGCCTCAAATCCACTTATCCACTTCACTGCACCCAGAAGCCTGGAGGGTCCCTAACAGTCTGGGCTTTGTGCAGCGTGCACTGAGGACTTACCACAGGCCACGGGGCCTCTGGAAGCTGTGATGCTCCCCTGCTTGCTGAGATAGCCACAGTCCTCCAGACACACGTGGAGGCGGATGCAGGTGCCCTAGATCCGCCCATCAATTCCTCTGCACACAGATGGTGAGGTGCAGGAGTCCCAAATAGGCTGGGCTCCGGCGATAGTGTGCGCCCGCCTACTTGCTGGAAGCTCCACAGTTCTCCAAGCGCAGCTGGAATGGGGAGGCGGATGTAGATACCTCAAACCCACGTATCCACCTCACTGCACCCGGAAGCCTGGAGGTTCCCGAACAGTCTGGGCTTTGGGCAGAGTGCACTGAGGACTTACCACAGGCCGCGGGGCCTCTGGTACCTGTGATGCTCGCCTGCTTGATGAGATATTCCACAGTCCTCTAGACACACGGAGAGGTGGATGCAGGTGCCCCAGATCTGCCCAGCCCTTCCTGTGCACACCTATGGTGAGGTGCAGGAGCCCCTAGAATTTTTCTTAATGAGTGCTTTTTTACAGTTAGCCATCTATACGCACTTAAAATCTTTAGATATTAAGATAACAAATAATTTTTAATTCAGTCCTTATTGGGCAATAATTTTCTTGTTTAAATTTTTTATATTTTGCAAACAAAAATAGAGTAGATTAAATTACTCTGAATATATCTGAAAATAAAAGACTTTATGGTTTTGTTAATATGTTACTTCTAAATGTTAATTCTATTGTACTGGAGTATGCTCTAATTTTATAAATTTTGTTTCAGCAAAATAGATTAAATACAAATTAGTTAGATTTGATATGAAAATATATTTGCTATGAGAAATATATATGCATTTATTTTACATAATATTATCTATACAATTTTTGAATTTTGTAATATTATGTTTTTAATATAACATATGCAGATATAAATGAGCATTTTTATTTTTTAAAGTTTTATTTTAAAGAGATTAAGATAAAAGAGGACATAACAAAGCAGATAAGAACAGAACAATTTAAGGAACACAGTATTTCATCACAAGACAACCTGATATAACAGTAGCTACCGTGATGTCTCTTTCCTTGAGCATATCTTCGTGTACAATAGAATCAAACATAACAAAATAATATAAAACCATTGAAGAGAATGAAAATATTACAGGGCATTCAGAACCAAATAACAGAAAATGAACAGTTGTTACTATATTATCTCATTGTCCATAAAAATTTGTTTATACTACCACATCTAATAAAATCCAATAAGATATTACATGATAGAACCAAAGAACAAAAGTATGGCAGGACTTCAAAACAAGATGAAATTAAATCAGCACTGGCTATTATAATGTCTTGTTTGGGCATTTGTATTCATGCAATGTCTTTTAAATAATCTGCCTAATCATGAACCATAGCTTCATTGTTTAATGTTTAATAGTTTTGTAATTTATCATTTTTGGAAGGTAAAATACTCTTTTTTCAAATTTTCATTAACATTAATTAGAGGATTTTTATGCCCATATCTTGTACTCTGAATAACTACTTTAAAGACAATGTGCCATGTATTAAATATTATTATTCTCCTATAATCTTGTCATGAAATTTTGTTTTACCTTTTTTCTATAAAAGAAAAAAAATATTCCTTTGTCATAGGTTTATCTTTAGGGACTATCCTCCTATTGCATTTAATTATAATGTTATCTAGAGTCTGCCAACGTGAGTCATTGATATTTATTTTTATTTGCACAGAATTTTATAAATTCATTTAAGTAGAAATAGCCTATGCACATAGCTGGGTTTTGGACTTGTATATATACAGAAAAAAAAAACAGTAAAAGCTGATGAAGTCAGATACATTTTTAGCTTATTTTTAAATGTATTTATTTGTTTACTAATGTAAATATTTGTTTTGTTTTATTTATCACTTATTATATGCCCACTCCATTTCAAACATGATAGAAGTCATTGTAATGTAAGATTTGGGGTAATTGCAGATTCAGTGAGAGAGGAGGACTAGGAGGAAGGATTATTGTCAGGACCGTCTGGAAACCAAGAAGAAAGACATGAAAGAATTCAAGTGTTCTGATCATTGTTAGATTCATGACTTTCTGCAGAGGAAAGCTACATAAGTGTTGTAAGTTGTGCCTATACTCAATAGTGTCTGCGCTTTCTGCTTATGAACATTTTCATGAATGTATTATTTTCATAAGCCATCTAATTTGCCATTCACTCTCCTCTGCTCTTGCTTCCCTCTGACCAAACACTCACTAATGTCTTTCTACTGTGCCTGGCTATAGGAAGAATTCATACATCAGGAATTAGATCAAATCTGACTCTCAGAAGTCTTATTTCTATTTAGCTTTTTGTTGTTTATGATTTCAGTTGCTCTTCTGCATTTTGCAGTGGCCTTGGTAAAGTGCTTCACAATTTTTGAATACATTTGCTTCCTATAAACTTATGTAAAAAACTATCTGCCCACAAATGGAAATAGAGAGGGGTGTGGGGCACCTGGAATGAAAGAGACTGTGAGAAGAGTGAAGGACTGCAGATGAGACCTCAGAGAGCACTGAAAGACAAAGCTATGGACCTGGGAATGAAGGTTGGGAAGGGAAAGATAGATTGAGGCTAGGGACAGCTATCATTATCATTATCATTATCATTATCATTATCATTATCATTATCATTATCATTATCATAATGAATCATCATCATCATCATTGCCATTATCATTATTATTTTTAGGATGCTCATGAACAGCAGTAGGAACTCTGATTCTGTCTTGGGCATGATCACCCCAGAAGTAAGAGTGTGATAAGATTCACACATAGTCTGATGATGATGCTTGTGAAACAAGCCCACATTTCTATCGTCTCACAGAGTCTACCCATTGTTCCACTTCTGGGTCAACAGAAGGTCCAATTTACCCAGTCTAAAAAAATGTTGGGTGCTGTACACTATTATTAACCTTTGGTCTGCACTGTGGTATTTTTATTTTAGATTCCATATATAGGTAATACCACAGGGTTTTCTTTCTGTGCCTGCTTATTTTACTTAGTAGAGTTTCTGGCAAATCCATTGTGTTGTCCCAAATGTCAGGATCGCCTCCTATTTTAAGGGTGACATACTCTTCAGTCTTTTTTTCACTGTCTTTTTCCATCTCTGCTGTTTCTCTCTCTCTCTCTCTCTCTCTCTCTCTCTCTCTCTCTCTCTCTCTCTATCTATCTCTTTCCCTCTCTCTCTCTCTGTCTTTCTCTCTCTCTCTTCTGTCTCTATCTGTCGCTCTCTCTCTCTATCTCTATCTCCTATGTACAGTTTCTTTATTTGTACTGAATCCCTGAATCAGCTTTAAATTTACCCTGCCTTTCCCCAAGATCCTCCAAAATTAGCAAAGACTGAACAGTCTCAGAATCTCTAAGATTGCTTAGCCTCATCTCCTGGGAGTCTAGGCAACCTCCAGGGTCAATTGTACACATAATGTTAGCAGTAACTCATGTATGTGGTACAGAGAAGCAAAATGTCGAAACCCTGAGAGACATTTCTTTCGTTTCTTAAATTGCCACTTGATGGATCCTGAGTGCCTGACAGTGAGGAGCAAAAAGATGCAGGACCATGAGTGTGCTCATGCATACAGATGCTTGCTGAAATACACCTGCACACATATGTATCCACTCACCTGACCACATCCAAAGCAGGTGTGTGGGCCAAGTGTCCTCTCCACGCCCAACTTTCAGGTGAGTGTTCTCTGTGAGGGTGGGTTTCAGATTCACATTCTAGCAGGCTGTTCTCTGAGCTGCAGCTTTGAAGGACCAAACTGCTTACTTCACTCTTCATCACCATGGCAAAGCTCTCATCAGGAAATATTTGCTCTCTCTCAGATACTATATCTGCTAAAAATGTGCAACTTTTGGATGTAAGATTTTATTATACACTTTGAAGCTATCTTAATCAATATCCCTTTGTATTTCTGACCATTTTCATTTTGCATACTTCAAGTTAGGTTTTATAGTGGAGGGTACTTTACACACAAATGTAGGATATCATTTTATTATCAAATATATGCTCATAGATACTGATGGTGTTATACTGCATTATTACAATTCATGTTGCATCATATTGCTGTACTATATAACACAGTTACGACTTCAGAATCATTTTTGTTTATATTAATGTTCCAACCCCTGTTTTCCAGCTTGAAACTCTTGACATTTTAAATTGAAGCTCAGATACTTTTTTCTGCTCCCCTCAGGTACTTCACTAGGTACCACCATGACCACTTGCAATGCCACTGGCCATCCATCATTCTTCATCCTCCAAGGAATCCCAGGAATGGAAGACAAACACAGATGGATCTCGATCCCCTTCTCCTCCATTTACTTCATCACTGTGCTGGGAAACTGCACCATCCTCTTCACCATCTCCACAGAGCGCTCCCTGCATAAGCCCATGTTCCTGCTGCTTTGCTTGCTGGCCCTCACAGACCTGGGCATGTCCACAACCACCATTCCTAAGGTGCTGTGCCTCTTCTGGTTTGGTCAGAGTAAGATTACCTATGAAGGTTGCCTGACCCAGTTGTTCTTCATTCATTCCATTTCTGCTATGCAGTCATCTGTCCTGACCACCATGGCCTTTGACCGCTATGTGGCCATATGCAAGCCCTTGCACTACACCACCATCCTTTCCAATAGCCGCATTGGGCTCATTGGCCTGGGGAGTTTGGTGAGAGCCATGCTTTTTATTCTCCCCATGCCCATCCTCCTCCAGCACAAGCCCTTTCATGCCAATCGTGCCATTCAGACCACCTATTGTGAACACATGGCAGTGGTGAAGGTGGTGTGTGTGGACACCACTGTCAACCGCATGTATGGCCTGGTGGTGGCTTTGCTGGTTGTTGTGCTAGACATCTCAGCTATTGCTTCATCCTATGTGCTAATCATCCAGGCTATAATGCGCCTCTCTTCCAAAGAAGCTCACCACAAAGCAGTCAATACCTGCACCACACATATCTGTGTCATGTTGATCTCTTACACGCCCTCACTTTTTTCTTTTCTTACTCATCGCTTTGGCAGAACAATTCCACCCCATGTCCACACGATTCTTGGAAACCTCTACTTTCTTGTACCTCCAATGCTCAATCCTATTATTTATGGAGTAAAAACCAAGGAATTTCGGGAGAAAGTGACCAAATACAGTTTCTGGGTGAAGACACTCATAACTGTTTCCCATGGTCAGAAACTTGTTTGATAATCCAGCAACTGTGAATATGATGAAGAAATGTTGAGTGTGTACAGTTTGGGGGAAATTTGTCTCACACTAGAAGTATGTGATGCTGATAGGTTAGATACCAACTATGTTTATTTTTTGGACAGAAAAGCTAACACATAAGAACTTTTTGGGCTCAATAATTTCAAAACAAGGTAGTTATCTTCTGTGAAATAAAATAATGGTACCTGTTCACTACATCTGGTTAGGCAAATTATACATGATAAGATACCAAAAAGTATCTTGAATATCACACAGTGACCTTATGTAAGATGGGGTAGAATATTCCCATATGGAAAGAAGGAAGAATGTAAGAGCAAAAAAATACCACCAGGAAGTGGTAGAATACTACTGATTTTGCTGAGGCAAGGCCTAGGTGCATGTGGTTATGGGTGTGCATTTGTATTTGTATTTGTACTGTATTTCTATTTGTATTTGTGCATTCAAGGGTTAAGATGAAAGGTGGAGAAGATTGTTGTGGAGGCTGAGATAATACAGGGAAATTTAAAAATTTAATTTGGAGTTACTTATTACCTCCACTGCTGAAGCGTTATCAATGGAAATCAGGATTCCCTGTTTCCTTATAAGCCCAAAGACTATGTATGGGAAAGCATCTCCATTTTCCAGAGAAGCTTCAGAGGGAAGAGAGAAAACTGGTAAGCTTTTAGGTTTAGAAATCTCACATGCATATCAACTATATTCGTACTTATAAAAACTGGAGTCATCACTTGTGCTGGTCTTAATTCTAGCATCTGACAAGGCTTTCCGGTTTGAGTTTGTTTTGAAAAATTTTTATTTTATTTGTACATGTTTGCAGTTCATGTAGTTTACAGTCATCTTGGGGAATGTTTTCATGCACATATTACAGCATGTTTATTTTTATTCTCTTCCCCTCACCCTTCCTCCTTCAGGTCCCCTATTCCCTTTTTCATATTTGTTGATATTGTCACAACTCATGCTATGGCGTCTACAGTTTACATTAACTGGGGTTACTAGGTTCCTATACATGGCACATCTTCATTTTTATTTCCCCTTCTCTTTCTCCTTACCACTTGTCCTGTTCCTTTGGACCACATAAGACTCTCTTGTCAAGAAGTAAGTATAAGAATGTTTTTGTTCAGGGTCACAGCTACATATTATTATTATTTTTTTTACCATAAGTGATCATGAAATAGTTTATGTAAAGATTGTTAGTGTAGGGTTGTGGTGGTACACCCCTGTAATCCTAGCACTCAGAAGGCTAAGACAGGAGAATTTCCACAAGTTTAAAACCAGCCTGGGCTGCATAGCAAAACCTTGTTTCAAAAAAAAAAAAAAAAAGATTGTTAATGTAACATCCTATGTGACTGAACACAAGACCAGGACTTCTTTTGGGATTAATAAAAGATCTATCCCTTTGACTCATTACACAGGATTATTTTTCTTAAAATTTCCAACTTTTAACACCAAATCAACACTAATATTTATTAAGAAAAATTAATTTCCACAATTACAGCTAGTTCAGATAATCTCAGAGAATATTGTTTTTGTTTTTGTTTTTTCTTTTTTTGAGACAGGATTTTGCTTTGCAGTGCAGGCTGGCATTGAGCTCACTTTGTAGCTCAGGCTGGCCTGAAACTTGCAATGATCCTCTTACCTCATCCTCCCAAGTGCTGGGATTACAGGCATGTGCCACAACTTTTGGTTCAAAAGATATTCTTTAAAACATATTTTATTTTATTTTTATTTTGGGAGATGTACAGGGAACTGAACTCACAACCAGAAGCAGAGGCTTGTGATACTGAACTGTATCCCTGGCCCCAAAAGGTATTTTAAAGATTAATAGAAGAGTGTTATGTAAGGTTATGGTCACTAGTCGGGAGAGCAATGGGAGACAGGATGATTATAGTATGCTATGCACCTGTATTGTACCAGTATTTCTGAATGAAACCCACTATTCTACATAACTAAAGATAACTAAAAAAATCTCTTACAAACAGATGATCTACAGATGTATAGCGTTCTCATCCTTTACTTTTCAGAGTCTTATTTTTCACACAGAACAAAACAAGGCTATCCTTATTATTAATTTGTTATTCATTTGTTGTTGCTGTTATTGAAGAACTGTATATTTTATAGAGCTGGCAAGTGTGGTAAAGCAAGTAATGGAACATAAAGATCTTCCTTTCGTTTCTGCAAAGCTATCCAGTATTTTATAGTTTTAGCTAAAATTTGTTGTTTTAAAAAAATATGACCAGGCGGAGGGTAGATATTGAATGTAGTAAAGTTCATTTAAATGGTTGCTATCATGAGAATGGGGAGGAGTCCCGGAGGTCCTGCAAGTACCACTACCTGCAGTGGAAGAAAACCTCATCAAAATTTGGAGGGTTTTGATGTTAACTGTGCAATGTCAATATCAGTCATAACGCAGCAGACCTATCTCATAAGCAATCTCATTTCAACTAAACTCTTTTTTGAATACACAAAGTTTGATCATAGAAAGTTTAAGCAATATTTGGAGAATGACAAATGAACAAGTATTTGAATCTGAATTGAGTTTCCTCTGTCTTATTTAATTTGAATTGTCTTCCATTTGCTTAAATATATTAATAGTAAAATAATTTTGTTGAATATATTTGTGTCTGTACATGATATGCCATTTGTTATTCTATATGTCATATGTTATTTTCCAGGAACAGAAAGCATTGTGACCTCTTGTCCACTAACATACAACTTCTTTAGTTACTCTGAAATTCTAAAAACTGAGACATTAACTTTTTGGTCGATATTATAGCTTGGGGATCACTAAAAATTGAAGATTGACTATATTAATTTTTAGCAAATTGCTAAGTGAGAACTTAAGAAAAACAACGCACCCTTGACATAAGATCATTATTTTTTATGTGTATTCTGTGGAACAAGATGTATAGTGAAAATAAACAACATTGGTAGAAAAACAGTTTTCAATTTATATACATGGAAATCCATTATTTTAATTTTTTGTTTGTTTAATAATGTCTCTTAGTGACGGTTCTATAGCAGCATGAGGATCTTATTTTTGAAAAGCTTTATAGTTTTTCATGGTAAGTTTGTTAACAGATATTTAAGCAATCACCTTTTGATGGACAGAGATTTGTTGTAGCTTTTTTTTTTTTTAAATCAGGAATTGAACTTAGGACCTTGTTATTGCCAGACAGGAGTTTGTGCCACTGAGCTATATGGCAGGTCCAGTTTTTGTTGTTTAAGAAAACTGCATGCTCATTTTGTTATTTTGGGCAAACTATTCCTGAAGAATAAATATGCCCAAATAGTTATTAAACAAAAAAGCATACGTAATCATTTGTTTGTTTGTTTTCTGTCTGTTTTGACATTTGAGACAAGGTCTTACTATGCAGTTCAGGTTGTTCTTGAGCTCAGTCTGTAGCCCAGGCTGACCTCAAAATCGCAGTGATGCTCTTGCTTCTGCTCCCAAGTGCTGGGACTACAGGGGTACACTACAATGCCTGCCAAGTATTTGCAATTTTTATGTTTCTTTTTCTTTTTTCTTCTGTGTTGCTGGGTTTGAAATACAGGGTTCCCACACATGTAGTCAAGAACTCTTCCACTGAGTTACCAGCTTAGCCTTTACTTTTCTATTGCATGCAGCAGTTTTGCCTGGTTATTAAAATGCACAACATTAAAAGTACCCATTAAAATATAATGTGTAGATTGTCAACATATCATCAAATGACTATAATGTTGTGCATGTGCATTATAATGCAGAGTTGATGCATCAAATCCCCCAAAATTAAGTAGTTTAAAACAATGCAGTTATTGTTAATGGTGTTGTTCCTACTGCATGTCTGCTTAAACTTAGTCCATGCAGGAGCTATATGAATCTTTAAGAATGCCCTTGGATCATTTCAGACTTAAAATATAGATTCTGATTTTCTCTGATATGCCACATATGATTTCACAAGTAGATCAGTAGATGTAAAGCTCTGTGCACCTGGTATGTGGTCACTGACTTTTCAAATGCATTTATTTCTATTTCAACTAGAATATTGAATCACCAATAACATTCACATGGAACAAATATTTATTCACAGTTGTTTTGAAGCTCTGTTCTGTATATTAGTATATTCCACAGAGAATCAGAGTGCTTAAAATTCCACCTATGAATTACACTGTCAATAGTATACTGTTGATGAAGATGAGTGACTGGCATGTAGGATGCCCTAACCTACAATGCATCTTGATTTTCTTTCATCCAAATATTTTTCTGAAACAAATCTACATGTTTTTTTCCATCTTGGCTTCAGCTTTGCAGAAGACTCAGATGAAGTCAAATCATTGAGAGTACTTGTTATTTACACTGCAATTTTGTGTGTTTGATGAATATGAACACAGCTGGGAAGGTACCAGGGTCTCTGTGGCATCAGCACATCCCTGTTAGACACACACAGAAAGGGACATTTTAAGAGTGCTCTAATGTAATTCATAGTTCAAAGTACAATCCTATATGCAGAAAGGAGAAAGCCAGAAAGGAATGAATAAAGGAAGGGAGACAGAGTCAGGAAACCACTTTCTGTGGCCCACTATTTCTGCAATCCAGCTAGCTGGGTTGTTGGGTCAGTGCACTGTCAGTTGTCCTCAGTGTTCATTCTATCCCAGGATTATTGCTGGGACTCATAGTCTATACATTTCCTCTGCACAGGCATTTTATTACCTTGCCTCATATTTCCTTCATCTTTAAACCATAGATGACAGGAAGAACACTGAGAGTAGGATAAAGTAGAGATTGGCAAGGAGGATGTAAGTATGAGGTAGAATATGTGACCAACGTGGTGTGTAACAGAAGAAAAGAGTGTAAGCACATAAGTGATGAGGGTGACAAAGAGGTAGGCTGAGCAGGTGCCGAAAGCCTTGAAGGTGGCATCTTTAGATTTAAGACTCATTACAGCCTGAAGGATGAGGGCGTAAGAGAACCCAGTGAGCACACCCCAAGCAAATCACAAAGAGTC